TATTTATTTTTGATTGGCTTTATTGATGGCACAAAAATAGTCTGTAATATTTTACTGCCAATTACACTGATTCTTAAGTGTTTCTTTCTGGGGTTTTTTATTTTTTTTTAAAGAAAACAAAACCATTGCAAAATTTACAAAAATATTGTATGTAAATAAATAATGAATTTTGAGCACTGGCCTGAAATTACTATATTAATTACATAAAGGCTCATTAGTATGCATTTTGTCCTAGTCTGGCTGGTACTTCACATGTGTTCTGCTGACATTCTTTTGATTAATTCTATTGCATTTATTCATTATTATATTTTCTTTTTATTAATGACATTTGTGCCGACAGAAAAAAAATAAAAATAAACAAACATTGCAAAATACAGTAATTTATCATATGTTTAATGTTTTCAGTTTACAATGCATGCTGGAAATGTTACAGCTACAATGTAATGCTCTAAGAACTATAAACCACAAATATATTTAATATAAACACTTTTGTGGGGGATATGACGACATATAGCCAAACGTCATAATTTGGTATGAGAGAGAGAGAGAGAGATGTCTGAAACTAGACTGTCTGTTGTTGGAGAGAGCACTTTGAGTTAATCCATTGCTTTAAAACAAACCAGTCCCAGAGTAAAGCGATGTCAAAAAGCCCTTCTTACCTAGCAAAGCTCGAGCCACAATCTTTGAGAAGCCAGTCTGTTGAGCTTACTGATGGAAATCTCATTGCTTACTGTGCAAAATCACTGATATGTAAATATATGCAAATATTGATATAAAAGTGAAAAGGGATTTCTTAAATAGTGGGAAAATAAACGGAATGCATGCGAAAGTACAGGCAGGGAGAGAGTGTTTGGGGTTATTTAATAACACGATGCTACCCCTCCTCTCCTCAAGCTTTGATTCGTCCACTGAGGCAGTGAAATTACACATTACAGTATTTGATTGGAGGGAGAGGGTGCACAGTCAGATAAGATCCACCCAGAAGAGAAGGGCCCAATCAATAGCACTGGCTTTCATATGGTAATATGTCGCTGCAGGAAGCAATAGGTGAATATATTCCCATTCGATAGCAGCCAATTTGCCAAGCCATGAGACACCCCATCAAATGTATGTCAGGAAGATGAAATTGTTGTTTGCATAACAAAGCAGCCTTGGTCTGTGATAGTTTTTTAAACAAATATGTCCCTCTGTGCTTACAAAATGTAATAACAGAGAGGTAAGAGGTCAGTATAACAGGAAAACATTACCTCTGCAAAAACATGCTGTGAATTGAGAGTCGTTAAATCTTGGGCTCTGCGATCGGTAGATTTATGGCACTAGTCGCGCATAGTTATTCCGTTATTTTGTGAGAGTGAACAATCTCTTGTCTTTTAAATGCATCACATTTGTGTGGAAATGTGTACAGTGCTGAGGCATAGGAACTGGATTGTAATTAATGGGTATTATAAACCCCACGAGGGGAAGGCAGTAATAGAGGAATAGAGTGGGGATGAAAGTGAAACCCACACTGTCAGGCTAGAGAAATGTGGTATTTTTTTTGTTTTAGTTTATGCTCAGGCTGCGCACTTTCAAGTCCCGTTTGTCACAATATTTTGTTAATCTTCTTTGATTCTCCCCTTCTCCCTCTGTCTCCCCAAAATAAAGAGCCAAACGAATTCCAATTAGATTGTATTAGATAATAAAGACGCTGTAGGCATCCTCAATCTACAGCATGCTTTTTTTTTTCTTATTGAACCTCATTGTATTATCAACATGGGTGCTTAAAAAAAAGAAAAAAGAAAAAAACCTTCCCACCACAAGGAGAGGCTGAGGAGATTGGGTGATGAATTTAATTCTGCAAGTTCAGAGAGATTTTTTAGTTTGACAGCAGGGGTTCTTTGAGAGCTTGGCAATGTCTCCAGCACTGCAGGCTTTGAAAATCTCTCCCCACAGTCGAACTCCTATCAAAAGCCAAGGATAATATTCCCTTCGAGGAAAAAGCATCCTGGTGAAAGAACGTCTAGACCCTTTTATTTATTCATCATGGTTATATCTGAATATATCAGAAGGCTTTGCGATAATGCATGAAAGGGTAATCACAGGCCGAGAAAGAGGGAAAGAGTGAAGATAGATTGGTGTGCTTTTTTAGGTTTCTTTAATTCCACACAATATAATTACAGACAGTTTTATTTGTACATTGAGCTCACTTAGTAATTTTACATGCAGTCCCATCCACCCATTTACAATTATTCATTGACATTTCTGAGGGCTAGTTGGTTTTAGCAAACAAACAGAGGTTCTCATTTTTTTTTCCTGGGCCTCAATTTTACATTGGATATTAAGTCGTAACCAAACACAGTACAGTTTTTGGCTTCTTCTGAGCTCCACAGCACTGTAAAGTTGAGCAGGATGCACAGTATTGCATCAACAACAGAAGATATGAGGAGCGTTTCTTCTCCCTTTTAAAATGTATTGAGCCTATTTATTTTGTTGTCTGAACTGTTTTATGGATTGTATTTTATTGTTTGCATTTAGCATAGTATTTTTCCCCTGTTGTGGGTCATAATTTATATTTGGGTCACATTGTTCATATCTGGGTCACACTTCACTAGTTGAGAGCTACTGCTGTATGTCATATATATAGTCATAGTGTTCATAGATATTCTTTCAATGAGACATATCACACACTGTATGAATAATGCAATGATAACACTCAAAGCGGCTTCTTTCAGCACACAAACAAACAAGCATCAGAACCTCCAAAAAGAGCAAGTTGTTTCTGTCAATATCAAGTGTACAGTCAATGAATGTTGAGTGTGATGGATTGTCCTTGTTGCCTCTGGACACAAATTATTGACTCATTGAGTTATTTACCCGCTCTGTGGTGGTTGCTATCTAAATTTTTCTGAGTAATATTCATTCAACTCCAAACAGATATAGATTTTTACACACCAAGTCGCAGTCATGATTTATTCAGATTGAAGATGTTATTTATGATAGGATTGTATGAAGTAGTTCTAAAATTCACTTGTGAGTTATAGAATATATACATTTTATTATTATTATTATTATTAAAACTAAACAGGTGACGTGTGTGTGTGTGTGTGTGTGTGTGTGTGTGTGTGTGTGTGTGTATATACAGTATATACAGGGGTT